TATACCTTAACGATCTATTTGGAAATTAAATAAAAATGGAAGTTGAATAGAAAAGAAGCTCAAATAAAAAAAGAAGTTGAATAGAAATAAAAACGGAAGTAGCAGAGAATTAAAATTGGAAGTTCCTTCAAGAAACCACTATAACTTAACGATCTATCTTATCTGTGGATATTGTTGTTATACATATCTGTTGTAGAATGTGGATATAGCTTGTATGCTTATCTGTGGATATTGTTGATGTACATATCTGTTGAGAATGTGGATATAGTTTTTATGCTTATCTGAATGTGAGATATAGTTTTTATACATGTCTGTGGAAATGATGATAGAGCTAGCATGCTTATCTGTTGAAAAAGGGAAAATGAAAAGTAATTGGGACTTGTAAGTCGTTGACATAAATATGTAATTTATGTGATTGAATCAGTGGTGACCAACTATCAATTGCTAATGTTTTTGTCATTGTCCATGGTTGGTTTAGTGCATTTCTACTGGGCTGTGGCTCCCCCTTTATGGGAATATCATTTTCAGGTGCAGGAAGCATGCCACCTCCAAGGACATAGCTGGGAGGCTAGAGGCGGACATATTTTTGTCGCTTAACTTTTGATGTATTACATGTAACTTCAAGCCAAGGGCTTAATGTGTAAACGAGTTAGTACCCTTTTGTTGTAACCAAGTGTTAACTTGGAAAGCTGTAAGCCCGTAGGGCATTTTGTTTTGATGTTAACATGTAATACATATGTATATGGAACTCTAATGAATAAAAGAATGTGGTTGGTTTGTATGTAAATGCATGTCTTATCTGATGGGTTAATGTCGTTATTTTGAGGGCGTTACAAAAATGCCAATATAACAAGGTTACAAGAAGATGAATCAACAATATTTCAAATTTTATTTTTTGGAATAAAAAACGAAAGCACAATATTTCAATTTTTTTTTTCTTTTTGTGAGGGAAGGGGGGTGGGTAGGATTTACAGTCCCCACCCACCCATTTTATACATGTGAGAATTTATTTTTTTGGCTTATTACCAGCATTTTGAAGATATATATACCAATGTGAATCCAACAATAAATCTCTCTGACTAAACAATACACCAAGTCACCCTAATTCCCTTAGGAATTGATTGCTTGTTCCATGATTTTCATCTTTTTCCAAATATTCCATATGACTTATATGAATCTAACCAGTAAAAATAGTTCTTTATTACATCGTTTCTAGAATTGAGACAATCTTAGTAAGCTTTTGGAATATGTTACAACTAATAAATGCTATAAGATATAAATGTTGGATTCTTCACATTGGCAAAAGTGGTGGGTCTCGATGTGCTTAAAATTACACACTAGAATCCTAACTAGATAAAAAAAAAAAGGAAAATAAGTTCAGGTTTATGGACAAGTTCAATCCGGCCGATGACATCAAGCACAATTAAATTTCCATAAGATCAAAATGGTTGCATTTAGATTGAACTCAGAGTTGATTTGGTCATAATCCAAGGCATTTTGATGGTAACTACTAACTAACAAAAATACAGTTCAAAAGCAATTCTAGTTCGACAATCCATTCAAGCCAGGCAAGAACACACCCAAGAATGGCTAAAATGACAAAGCTATACAACATATCAGGGGGCAGTCATTGCCATGTGTGTCAAAGAGCTCTTAAAATAGGATATCAAAAGAAATGTACGTCTTTATAGTAAGCATATGTAGGAAGGGTAATGTTAAATTTCTTCTCGTGCGTTTGTGGTTGCATGATTATAGGGATTATAAAGAACCCATACCTGGAGCAACATAGCCTATAGTTCCCCTTACTGCAGTTGAATTGCTCTGATGTTGTACCACCTCATTTGAAATAATAATTTTGGCTAACCCAAAGTCTCCAACATGAGCGATCATCTCATCATCCAAAAGAACATTACTTGGCTTTAGATCACCATGAATAATTATTGAGTCACAGTGACAGTGAAGATACTCAATTGCAGAAGCAACATCTATGGCAATGTTTAGCCTTTGAATCAACTTTAGATTTCTGGATTCTTCTTCTTGTCCATTATTTTTGATTCCATCATGATGCAACCATTTCTCTAAGCTTCCATTGGCCATAAACTCATATACCAATGCCTTAAATTCATTACCTTGGAAATCCACACTAGAACAAGCGCTCAAAATTTTCAAGAGATTTCTATGTTTTATGGTTCTTAGTGCTTTGCATTCTGACATAAAACTTTTAGAAGCTCCTCTGAGTTGGAGATTGAGTACTTTTACTGCCACTATTATCTGAACTTGATCAAGAATTCCTTTGTAAACAGAACCATAGTTCCCAACACCAATTAGCTTGTCCTCTGAGAATCCATCAGTAGCTTTCAAAAGTTCTGCATAAGAAACCCGTAACAGATGGTGCTTGAGTGATGGCACGGAAAAGGCCTTCTTTCTTGAAACACGTCGCCAATGAAGGAATATGAATAAGCAAACCAACAAAATTGAACATAACACAAGAACAACCACAACAGTGAGTATCACTTTTATCTTGCGAGAGAGCTTATTCTTGTTGGACTTTGATGATGGGCAGAGAGGAAGACGCAAGTATGGAATGCCTCCACATAGATCATTATTACCAACCACCGAAATAGCACTTTCATTTCGAAAAATTCCTTCCATTGGAACTCGCCCATGTAGCTTGTTAAAAGATATATTCAACTTTTCTAAGTGGAGCTCACTTAGATAACTTGGGATCAACCCCGATAAATTGTTGCGTGAAAGGTCCAACTCTCGTAAACCCCTTAACTCTCTTAAACTTTGAGGTATCTCACCTTCAAATGAATTACCTTCCAAATGAAGCCATTCCAAGCTCAAACAATTGCTTAGAGAGTTCGGAATAGATCCTAATAATCTATTATTGGACACATCTAATGTTGCAAGATTTTTCAAAGACCCAACTTCTAATGGAAGAGAACCAGTCAACGCATTGTAAGATAAGTTGAAGGAAATTGAAATGGAAGAGAGACTCATAATTTCAGGGGGTATTGAGCCATGGAAATTATTATGAGCAAGATTTAAATCCAACAAGTTCTGACAGTTGCCGAGACTTGAAGGTATGCTTCCATGGATTTTGTTTTGAACCAAGTAGAGATCATTTAGCAAAGTCAAGTTACCTATTGAAGATGGTAATTGTGTGAAATAGTTTACGCCTAAGTAAAGTCCGTGCAAATTATGAAGTTTCCCAATGGTGGTAGGAATAGGGCCACTAAGATGATTCGTTGCCATATCAAAGATACTCAGATTGAGGAGGTTCCCAATACCTGATGGTAGGCTTCCATATATTTCATTGTCCTCCATACTAATTATGCTAACCTCGGAAGAGAGATTAGCTATGGACTCGGGCACCGGACCTCTGAGAAAATTGCCGCCAACGCTAAACGCTTGTAAACTCGTGCAATTCGTTAGTGATGAAATAAAACTGAGGTCATCCTGCAACAAATTTTCACCAACGCCAAACTTTCGTAGACTTAAAAGTCTTTCAAGATCTCTTGGCATTGGCCCCACAAAGTTGTTATAATCAAAGCCTATCTGTTGAAGTTTGGAAGCATTTGACAATGAAATAGGAAGTGGTCCTGTGAACTTATTTTCAGTAAGAAAAAGAAGCTTGAGATTGGGTAGGGTTAAGCCTATATCAGGAGGAATGCTTCCACGAAGTTGGTTATCAAAAATTTCAAACCAAGACAGAGTGGAGATGTTGTAAATGCTTGAAGGAACCTCGCCAGCTATATTGTTTTCAGAGATAAAAAACAATATCAAGCCTTGAAGTTGGGCAATTTCCTTTGGAATCTCTCCATGCAAAGCACATCGTCCTAAGGAAAGTTGGGTAAGAGAGGAAAGATTGCCAAGAAAAGGAGGGATGGTTCCTGAAATCTTGTTAATACTTAAGCCTAAAAGTCTAAGCTTCCACAAAGATCCTAACTCGGCTGGGATGTTTCCGGTTAGGTTGTTGTCCATCAAGTTAAGGATTTCAAGATTTGAGCATTGGGAAAAGTTGGTGGGTACTTCACCATGAAATGAATTGTTGCTGAGTGAAATGTTTCGAAGTCGAAACAAGCGACCAATCTCTTGTGGGATTGGGCCATGGAAGCTATTGTTTTGAAGAATGAGGCTTTTGAGGAAGGAGAGGTTTCCAATATGAGGTGAGAGTGATCCCACCAGGCCTTGCGACCGTAGTCTCACCATCACGACTCTATTGGGATGTCGATGACTACACAAGATGCCATTCCAATCGCAGTAGTGCACTGAATCATTCCAGGATCTCAATGCCCCAAATGGGTCTTGATCAATGGCAGACTTGAAAGCAATCAAGGCTGATCTATCTGTCTCATTTTGCAAGTAAGTGGCAGGGGTGTTGCCAAAGCAACACCACCACACAATGGAGGTGAAGAAAATAATAAGCCAATTTGCCATGATTTTCTGATGAATCCAGCACCATGAAATGGTGTATATATATGATACTGAATTTATTGTTGTATGTTTGAAAGCAAAGAAAAGTTAGTATACTTCTTCTTCTGTTAGAGAAAGAACCACTGAAACACCTCCCCTAAAGTAACGAAGTTTGTTTGCCAGATTGGATGGGTTATTAGTACGATAGGATTGAATGAGGGGATTATTAGTGTCATTAAAAATGTAAAAATAAATTTTATTTGTTTGTATAGGAGTATGGTAATATTAGTTGGTTGTCATTTAATCTATAAATTTATGTAAAAGTCCTTAATATATAAAATTAATTTTATTATTTTTGTAAAGTGCGGATGTAATGATATTTTTACGTCCAATCTCGATCTCAAGGGATTGGACTGTGAAACACAACCCCTCATGGGATTGCTAATACCCCTTGGAAGAGATTCGTAGTCCCATGATATTATCACAAAGAGATAAACTTATTCACGGATGTACTGTGAATAATTTCTTTACACTATGTTTGGATCATGAATTTAAGGAGGAATTTGAAAAAAGAAAAAAGATGAGGCAAATTTAGCTGCTTCACATTTTCCATTTCTTTTTTCAAATTACTAAATAAATTTATAATTCAAACACAATTTTATAATTTTCCAATAGGTTTCACTGGAGTACAATTAATTTCCTGCTATGGGTAACAAAGTTCAAGAATCTCATTAACCGAAAAGAATTTCCACGAGTAAAATTAATTGAAAAACCATAAAGGAACTATTCACGGCTGTGTCGTGAATAAGTTTATCTCTATTGGAGAATATGAGATCCACGAAATTGTTAGTCCAATTTCATCACTTTCAGACTAAAACAAACAAGGCCTAAGGGAGAGAAGAATAAGTCATTTCTACATTATATGACGATGAATATACAGTGTAGGGTAGAGTTTTCATTCATTGTTCAAGGATCAAAATTTTTATAACAAAATTCATTTTATATCTTAGTGGTTTAAGGTTGGAGCATTTTACACCTTATGGTTTAAAAATAGCCAAACAACTCCCTTGTAATTTTAGACTAAATTATAATAGTTACATTTTTTTGTCTAGACTAACAGAGAGAGTGTATAACACTGGACAAATTTTAAGTGCGGACCTCTTTATGAAAATAAAAAATAAACAATTAATGTAAAATTAAAATAGAAAAAACATTAATACTCTTTATCAAACTAAGAGAACTATTTATTAAATGCAAAAGGATAACAACACTCAAAATTTTAAATAATAACGTTTTTTAATATATCAATATTGAAGAAATTATGTTGTGTCATCTCTAAAAATGATACATTGTAAGAAAATTACCAATATTTGTGATGTTTTATACCAATTTGTAGCAAAAATTATGGTTGAGCTTGTCATTTATTTTTTTTAAATGCAAATATGATTAAATTATGAGCTACAATTATCATATCAATCTAATTTATTTTATTTTTTCTGTGAATAGTCTGCACAATAAGACATATATATATTAAAAAATAAAAATAAAAAAAATCATCTAATTAGATTACCAAAATAGGGCCTGCAGTGAGCCAACGAGCCAAAATTGGATTAGTTGAGTTCACTTAAGTCATGTTTGTTTGAGCGGATTAGATTGAATAAGATTAGCATACCTAGAATTGTCAGTCTTAGGATTATCAATCCATTTGGATTGTATATCATATTCCATGTTTTGATTGACTTAGGATTATGAGGAAGGATTGACAATATCTTATCAATTTCACAATTTAGCTAATTAGCCCAATATCTCCTTAATCTTTTATTTTGTATCCTATCGTTTCTTGTGATTGAATAATTCTCCATATAGGGGACACTATGTGCAAATAAACTATTAATCCGGACTCTAATTTTCTTAATCAAACATCAAATTATACATTTTTTTAGATTATTAGTCCAATCGTAAGGCCATATCCGTCCAAACAAACAAGACCTTAATGGATTCGAGACAAGACGGGGTGATGGAACCCTACGATTTCAAAAAACTCTTTTAATATAGTGGTATTAGTTATTAATTATCTCCAAATTATATAAGCTCGTTCCACTAAGGCTTTTTTTTTTTTTTTTTTTTTTAATTTAAAGCAGTAGATCCCTTTTAAATTTTTTTAAAAAAAATCAATGGTCTTCCCCTATATATCTATGAAACAGGTCAAAGTATAAAAACAAAAAATTTAGACAAAATTTAACGGAAGGAATAGTTTCTCATATAATTAGTGTTGATTACAAGCCCTAGACAATAAAGAAGAGAATAATGTGGAAGAAGAGTCCACAAGTAACTTAATCACATTAATTGAGAAAGGCATTATTCCTAGTTTTAATATCAGTTCTCTTATAGATGTTTCTAAGAGTAATGCTACGTATCATGAAAGATTCTGTACCGTTAGATTACACATACAAGAAAACACCACACACTAATCAAAAGATGAAAATTTTTCATGAAACATTTCATGATATATTTTTCATAATACCTAGTATTATTCTATTTTTAATGACATAAAAAGTATTGAGCACAATTCAAAATGCCTTTAGTATATAAATTATTTTATAACTGACATCTTTTGTAATTCAACCTGAATACAATAAAACATATTATTTATATATGTTTTCAGCTTATTTTTTATTTTTTATACCTATAGGAATTGATGTTGTAATTCATATCTTTTATTTACGTTGACTTGCTATATGATAAAATTTTGAGTCCATCCCAGCAAAAGACTCTTGAATTAACTAATGCTGTAAAGTTTGAACCTATGCACACGTTAGTAAAAAGAGGATCACAGGAATTTTTTTGAAAAATTACATTTCGGTGGAATGTAGACAAAATAAAGAGTTGCACCCCTTCTATTTTTGATTTGCACCCTCCATGATTTTGCAATTTTTTAGTCAACACGTCACTGAAATGCAATTTTTCCAATTTTTTTTGGACTGATAAACCATTGATTAGAAAGAATTACTGTAAAGTTGGAAAGAGCCCAAGCAAATTTTTTTTTTTTTAACTGACAAAAAGATTGATTAGATAGAAAAAATTTAATCAACTATAATTGTAAAGTGAAGTGAAAGAAACTAAATGAAAAAAATATATATTTTTTCTTATAAATATTTGGTAGGCTAAAAATGTTGTTAGATATAAATAACATTTTGCATGGACAAATTTCAATTTTCAAGTGAATTTTTACCAAAAAAATTAAAAATTTAGTCACCATGTTAGTATGTATTGTACAAAATATATATATATATATATATTCTTATAATTTTTACCATTTTCATATTAAACAAACTCAATAAAAATTTACATTTTTTTTTCTTCTTTTTCTCTCATTTTCTAACACTTTCATTATAATCAAACTCGGCCTAATTGAAACGAATCGAAACTTATTTCACGATGACCAAGATGAAGACCAAACCCAGACACAGACCTAGACCCAAACCCACGGCCTCCTCAAACTAAAGAAAAATATTTATTCAGAATAAAAAGAAAGTATTCATTTTTTTTTTCCTTGGATAATTAATTTTACTGACATTCTCTTACAATTATACAAACTTCCCTTATTATTTCTAAAATTACAAGGAATTATCTGTTTGAATTGTCTGTTAACAAATGGTATACTCACAATTTTTGGCCTTCTATAAAATTATAATTCCACAGCAATTAGATGCCCTATTCTTCTTCTTAATAATACTAACTTAATTGTCCCATAATAATACTAAATTTTATTTTATAAAATATCAAATTAAACCCAATAAGTATTGAACCTAATAATGTTGTTTTATGACTTAAAATTTTAAAAATGGTTACTATAATTAATTTGAAGAAATAAGCTAAATAATCCTCTCTCTTTTTTTCTTTTTTTGTGGGTCTTTTTCTTAGCTTACTAACTAGCAAAAGGCACAAAACATGTTTGCTTTCTAACAAACTAATAAACAAAATTCAAACCTTTACTTTGAGCACCAGATTGCCAAATCACCCGCGAGTATTAATAATTTATTCCTAGAGCCAAATAATTGAATTTAACTTTGTTTAAGGTTAAATACATGCAATCAACCTGAAATACACAATCTAAGCCAAAATTGCAAGACTTCCTTTTTTTTTCTCTTTTTCATTTTTTTTAACCTTTCCAGTTTTTATCATGCATTTTATGAATATGGAAACTATATTCTCTTTGTAATACATTGCCACCAGAAAGAAATTATATGTTCTTAAATTTCTCATTCCCTCTATCTCAAAATACTCACAATTATTAAACCATAGAAAATCTTGAAATGTAGTAATCTCAATACATGATCCAGTAAATGTGAACGTTTTGAGAAAGAGGAAGAGAGAAATTTGAGAACAGAGAATCTTATGTCTGCCACAAGCAAAAATGCTATGCATCTAAATTGCCCCGTATTTCTATTCCAAACCACTCATAACCAGTTAATATTATTGAAAATCTCGAAATACAGCAAACTCAAAACATATTTTAATGTCTTTTTGTCCCAAAACACATAACTAGTGAATCATTAAAAATCTTGAGGTATAATAAACTCAAAACTTGTTTTAAGAAATATATATATTTTGAAACAAAAGGACAAAAATTTAAAAACAGAATATCTCATGCCATGTATAGAGAATAAAATAGTAGGAGTACAAAATATAGAGAAAGAAATGACTCACTCAATGAAAAAATTATTTAGTAAGTTCGGAATAGCACGTGGTGGTGAGCCTACCAATTCATTGAGCGGAATCCATGGGCAACAAACTTTACTTCTTTTTGCAATATTGTCTGAATCCGTTTAAAACGCAGAGAGTACAGAGTACAGAGTAGTCGTGTGGTGTGGTGTGGTGTGGTGTGGTGTGGTGTGGAGAGGGAGGAACAATATAATATTATTAAGAGGGCTGTTTTTTCATTGATTGTTTGTTATCAAGTTTGAAACCAAAGAAAAAGTTGGTTATTTTTACTCCCCAACGTATCAAAACCGTAAAGGTGGTTTGAAAAATGAAACATCCATAGAATGATAAGCCATTTCTAGTTTGAACCCATGACATACGTTTTCCAGAAAGGGACCCCCAAGAAAAAAAATAAAAAATTGCAATTAGTGGTAAATTTTAATAATTAAAATTATTACCTTTTTAAACTTAGACACCAACAAGACCTATGGTCTCTTGTGGCACGGCATCAATCAATTACAGCCATTGAGGCAATCAAGACTATTCTACTGTATAATGGGTTGTTTGGTGTTGTTTATTTAAGTTTTTTTATTTTTTTATTTTTTTATGAGTTCGTATTACATTGCTTGGTATAGTTTTATAATTTATTAAGTAGAAATAACTTAACTTATGAGAGGGTAATTTGTATGAATAAATTGGGCCAAGATTGGGTAATGGGCCGCTTTGGGCCGTAGTAAGAAAGGCGGAGTAAAATGGCTTTTTTCATTAGCTCGGTCCAAGAAGGCCTTGTTGTTATCTCGGTCGCCACAGCCAAATTGGTTAGTTCGGTCATGGCATGCAAAGCCGAGGTGGAAGTGAGGAAGTATACTGAGCCCTCTTCAGGACTTGGTTTTGGGTTAGTTCGGCTTAGACTCTTCTATGGATAGCTCAGTCTTGGCGTGTGGGGCCGAGGTAGGGGAAAAGCAAGGAATAGCTAAACTAACAGTCAGATCGGTCACTCCAGTTAGTCTAGCATGGCAATGTTATATCGGTTGTATGGTAGTCCGGCCATGGTGAAACCATCTCACTTGGTTTAAGCAGTGAGGGAGATGTTGAAGGATAAGCATTATCCTTCAGGAGTATGAATCCTATGAGGACTCTACATGGAGGAGTAAGAGTCTTACTTGGATTGTGCCACACGGAACCTATAAAAGCTCACCAATATCACCTATGAAGAGGTAACACACAACTTTGATACACAGAGCTTTTTGTTTACTTGTCTATTTTGCTGACTTAGGCATCGGAGTGGTTTCCAGCGCACACCCGCCGGCTAACTCACGTT